TGTGTGCCTGGCCGCCGGTGGCCCCGCACAGGGGACACACGTAATGCCGCAGGATGGGGCACATCACCACGCCGTCTGGGGTCTTCAGCTGGTGTGACGAGTAGACGTGACGCGATTCCCCATTGTGCTTGCAGAAATTGCACAAGGTGGCCAGGCCTCCGCTGGCCCCGGGCCCTCCCGGACCCTGAGCCTGCTCCAGCGGGGGCCCAGGTCTCGGCTCCCCGGTCCCTGGGGCCTCTGGCCTCTGCCCCCCACTCTGGATCAGCGCCAACACCACCTGGCTCAGGTTGAAGTAGTCCTTCCACATGTCGAAGGGAGGCAGCTGCATGGCTCTCCGGCAGAGGTGACGCGTGGCTAGAGAGAGGCCAGGGCCGCGGGGACCAGGGGGAAAGAGCGGCAGGTGCTTTTACGGAGCAGGGAGGAACTGCACCCCCTTTTATACTCCCCCAAAGACCCTTCTAAGCAAAGGTGGAGCTTAGGATTTAAAGGGCCCACTCCTTACCCACGACTCCATCTGACTGTAATCCCCCACAGAGATCAGGAAGGAGGCCCTTTCCCTGGTCTCTGGTCCTTGCTCTGCCTCCAGGGTGCCTCGAGACTTCCAGAAAGGCCCTTCCTTTCCCCTGGCCTCAGTTTCTCTATCCATTCAATAAAGCTCCGTGTCCACAAATGCCCCTCTGACCCCCCTCCTCCTTTACTCGCGGGCCGGGGTCCTCCATTTACTCCAGACCCGTTCCTGATTATAATAACCGCCCCTTACCACGGACCACACGCTATGCTGCACAGTTCCCTGCACGATCTGATCTCCTTCTCACTGCGGTTATGGGCCCCATGTGATAGATGAGTTACCTGAAGCTCAGAGGGGGAAACTCACCGGCCCAGAGTCACAGAGCATGCAAGTGACCGAGCTGGGGCTCTTACCCAGGTCTTCGGGACCCCAAAGCAAGCACTCCACCTAGCTCTTTTGGGTTAAAAGCTAATTTTTCCATCACGTCTGGACCTGGGAAGCATATATTCAATACATGTTTTTTGAGTGCACACCACAGTGTTTTATAAGTGACATCTATAAACAGGTTTTGAGCCTCATAGCCACTCAAGGAGGTGGTTATCACTTGCATTTTATAGAGGAGGATAGGGGGCTCAGAGAGGTTAAGGGAGGTTCTCAAGGTCACACAGTAGGGAAATGGCATAACTGGAATTCACGCCCCATGTGACTCTAGAAATACTGGGAATTGATCTTAGAAGCAGCAGGCAGAGGACCTTGGCATGGCACAGCCTTACTTAGAATGCCCCGTCATGGCCCTGTGCGTTGTCACAAATCCTACCTGAACTTGGGGGCCAGGAAAAGCCTTTGCCTCCTGCCCACGTCACCTCGGGGAATTCTTCCTCCACTAACCATCTCCATTTGTTGCCTTGACCACTCAGTGCAGAGTCACCGAGGCTCCTTGTTTTGGATGCTGGAAACTCAGCAGTGACGGCTACCTAGTGCCCGTTTCACGAGCTGCCAGTCCACTGGGGGGACAGCCAGCAAATGAGAAAACAATAGACCCAAAATACCCGCTTACATATAGCGAGGGTGCTCCAAGGGAGGCGGGGCTGAGGGAAGTAACCTAGAAGCTGAAACCACAGAGAAGAATCTTCCAGAAAGAGGAACGCAAGCTATGGAAGCCTAAAATTTGGGGACAGCAAGAGGGATAGGGACAGAGCGAGTATCCCAAGATAAGCCAGCCCAGCGTGCAGGGGTGGCTAGAAGCCATCGGACTATGGATCGCTTTTAGGGGATGTTTTGGAAATGGTTGGGGGCTCTTTGGGTTTGTCACAGCGATTGGAAGAGTGACTGGAGGGGCGCCTGGGTGGCTCAGTCGGTTAGGCGTCTGGCTTCGGCTCAGGCTACGATCTCGAAGTTTGTGAGTTCGAGCCCCGTGTCGGGCTCTGTGCTGACAGCTCGGAGCCCGGAGCCTGCTTCGGATTCTGTGTCTCCCTCTCTCTCGGCCCCTCCCGTGCTCGCATTCTGTCTCTTTCTCTCTCTCAAAAATAAATAAACGTTAAAAAAAAAAAAAAAAGGAAGTGTGACTGGAATTAGTGAGCAGAGAATGCCGGATAGCTCAACAACCCACATGACCAAGATCTGTTTTGGGCCCCATTTAACTGTCCAGTGTGTTATTGGACACCCACATGTGTAGAAAAAGCCATTTATGATGATCTAAGCCTAGAACCTAGCTGTGTTTTGCGTATAAACGCCAGCACTTTCACGATATTTTCAGATACACTGACTCTTCTTGGAACGCAATTACCGCGTATATTGTTTTCCAGAGTTGTTCACTATTTCGAGAAGCCCCACCACCCAGCCTAATGGTGGCAACTGTCCAGACAACACACAGTTTATTCCTGTCTCATTCATGGACGTCTACACAGAGATGCTAGTATCCGCCTGATGAGATGGGTTTTATTTATTTATTTATTTATTTATTTATCGAAAGATACCATTTTTTAAATGTTCATTTTTATTTTTGAGAAAGAGAGAGACAGTCAGAGGGCTGGGGGGGGAGGAGCAGAGAGAGAGAGAGAGAGAGAGAGAGAGAGATAGAATCTGAAGCGGGCTCCAGGCTCCGAGCTGTCCACACAGAGCCCGACTCGGGGCTCGAACTCATGACCTGAGGAGATCGCGACCCTAGCCGGAGTCGGAGGCTTAACTGACTGAGCCACCCAGGCGCCCCTGGATATGTTTATTAAATGTTAGCTAGAGAGCTGCCTGGGTGGCTGAGTCAGGTTGGCATCTGACTCTTGATTCGTGAGATTGAGCCCCACATCAGGTTCCGCGTATGGTTGTGCCACCTGCCCCTGTCGTGTCTGGCTCTGTGGAGGGCTTCTTGCTGGGTGTGGAGCCTGCTTCAGATTCTCCCTCTCCCTCTCCCCAGCACTCGCACGGTCTCTCACTCTCTAAAAAAACAACCAACCAACCAAAAACGTTAGCTAGGATAATTAAGACACAGAGAAGGCAATGATTTTAAGGGCACTTATTTACAGAGCATCTTCTTTGGGTCAGCATGATAGGCTACCTGGGTTCTTGAATCCTCCCCAGACCCTATAAGGCAGCCCCATTTTACAGATAAGCAGTGGGAGGCTCAGAGGGGCCGAGGGGCTTGTTCAAGGTTATATAGATAGTATGGGGTGGGGGCTGGAGCTGAACTCAGGACATCCACCCACTCCCCTGAAAGTCTGCAAAAGTGGTTAGGAGAGGAGCAGAAAGGGACCTCCCGGGTGTAGGGACATTCTGCATTCTGCAGTGGAAAACTGGGAAGGTTGGGGGTAGCTGAGCCACATAGGTTTTCACAGGGAGAACACAAGAGACCTGCCGGCCATCGATGGACCCTCTTGAGGCGGAAGAGACCAGAATCTGCCATGTGGAAGAACAAGGCTCCTGGAGGGAGGGACCAGGACGAGTGTGGGGGTCTCTGTGCTAAGTGCTTTCCACAAAGTCACAGCTGGGAGCTTTCGCGCCAGCAGGTATAGGAGTCCCTGTGCGTTGCAGGACGGAGACGTAGGGACACGGTGCCAGTCCCGGAAGCCATGGTATCCGCTGCATGTGTGAGGTTGACTATGGAGAAGTGGGGGTTTGGAGGTTCCATGAACTCTCCTTAATAATCGCACCTGCCATTTGGAGACTCTCAGATTCCCTTGCTTGCGAGTCTTTTTTTTTTTTTTTTTTTTTTTTTTTTTTTAACCTTATTATTCCCCCCTCCCGCCCTGCCCCACCCCCAGGGTCGTTTTTTTCTAGGACACTGTTATTAGCACATGGCTACCCTGCCTCCCCCTCCCAGTGGTGTTTTACTGGATCAGTAATTGAAGGACATCCCTCTTCAGACAAGCCTTCTTCCATGGAGTGGTCAGAGCTGTGTATTGAGGGAAAGTCAGAGATGATACTGATGAGAAATTCATCAGCCATGGTGTTTACTCGATCCCAGCCTCCACTCCCACCATGGCCACACCACTCTCAGTGGACCAGACTCCAAGGCTGCCCTGTTTACTCGTGAGTTTCCCTCTCAACCTGGTGCCTGGTGGGAAAACAGCTCCTGGGAAGTTCAGAGAAGGACGGGGCGGGGCACGCGTGAGTCAGGAGGAGGGGGACCCCGAGAAAGTGGGGGAGACACACAGAGAGAGGCAGCAGGGATTCCCAGAGGGACCGGAGGGGTGTACTTGTGCAGAGACCAACACAAGGGAAGTTAAAGAGAGACTCTTGGAGAGAAAGATGGAGACAGGAGACAGAACATAAGAACAATATGCTACGGGGATGCCTGCGTGGCTCAGTCAGTTAAGCGTCCGACTTCGGCTCAGG